AAATTTATTAGGTTTGCTCTTTGATTTACACGGAAGCGGTTTTTGGTTTTGATTTTTGCCTTATTTTTAAAGAGGTACCATGACGGCCTTTTACTGCTCTTTTACAACACAAGAGAGAGGCGAACCATTGCCGATGTCAGAAAACAACGCGAAAGAAGGTTCTAGGAAACCAACACAAAACCAGGGGCCTGAGCACTCCCGGCGCGCAGCGTTCGCGGGCGTCCGCGTGGGGAGGAGGAGCCTGGCCTGCAGGGTAGAATCGCCGGGTGATGGAGCGACGGGAACCGAGCGCGCCGTGCTCCGGCTCCCTTCCAGGGTGCAGGGTCAAGGAGGCGGAGACCCGGCAGGACCGAGTGTGCGGGGAGGGGCGGGTCGGCGTCAGGGGGAGTCGAGCTGTCAACCCCTGTGCTGGTGAGCAGCCTCCGGTTCTCCTTGGAGCGCGGAGAGCCTAGCTGCCCCCGTTTAGGTGCACGGGGTAGGGGCGGCCTCCCCGGATGCGGGGGCCGGCGGAGGGCGCGGTGGGCTTCTCATCGGCTCCGACCGCTAGGCGCTCAGGTTGGTGACGGCGAGCGGCGGCGGGGCGCGGGAGGTGTCTTCCCACGGGCACCCGCGTCCCGCCGTCCGCTCACGTCTCCGCTGTGCCCGGGACCGTCCAGGGAAGCCGGCGCCGAGCCCACGGGCAGGGTCGGCGCGATCAGGGGCCGGCCAGCGCCAGGGGGCTGCCCGCGGGGCCGCGGCGCCGGGAGCCGGGCTGGTCCACCGTCGGACGCGGCGGGACCCCCTGGCCGCCGGGCGCGCGGCGGGCGGGACGCGCGGGGAACGGGGGCGGGCGGGCAGGTCCGGGACACGGTGGGGCGCCGCTCCCTCCCCGCACCTGCCCGCCCGCCCGCCGCGCGCCCAGTCTCGCCAGCCGTTCACAGGTTTAAAAAAGTTTTCAGATGGTGTGGGCTGCGCAGCTTACTTCTGATGGGGAAGTAAGACAGAAACTATCACTTCCCGACCGATTTTTACACCTTTTAGTGGGCCCTAGATTCTATTTCTGGGGCAAATGCCCATTTCCCTTCTTAATCGGAAGCTACGTGGGAACCACTTAAGCAATGGCCATTCTTCCCAGGACGCCTTCAGATGGCCAGACATACTAGCGTCCAGTTCTTCCCCAGATCCCAAACTCCAATTCTAAAATGATAGAAACCATAGTTTTGGGTGATGACTTCCCATATTTGGGGCCCAGGAAGAAGAGGCATTTCAGGAAATGCTAAAATAAGTGTATATTTCAAAATTTCCTTTAAAAAGTCAAATACCAGAAAAAGTTATGAAAGACTATACAACAGAATGCTGGGTGGTTATCTCTGGGTTTGATATTTGGCTGATAGATATTTTTTACTTTTATCTTTATAATTTTGTGTATTGTCTGAAAAAATCTTTTACAGTTAACATTATTCCTTTTATAATCAATACAAGAAATACTCATTTTGGAAACAAAAAGCAGATTCAGTGACTAAAACAAAAAGTAAAGACGTCATGCTGATTATCCTAAAGCTGTTTGTATTTTCTTTTTTTCCCTTAGCCCCTAGCCAAGGCCTGGCACCCAGTTGGTATCTCAATAAATACCAGCTAAGTGATTGAATGAATATCCTTTCCACAGTCTCTGTCAGAGGAAGAACATGTTCATTTAACTGACTTATTTTTCAGGTCTCCGCTGTGATTTTTAATATAATGACAGCAATGTGAAGATTTCAGAATAAAAACTTCCTGCAATTATAGAATCATCCTTTGCTTCGCCTGCCTGGCCTCGCTCACTGTAACGCTGTATGGATTTGTGTATTCAGATAGGCTGCTGTTAGCCCTCATAGCAGTTTCAGACCTGAGCATTCTCTGAGTGCCTTTGAAGTCGGGTCAACAGTAATCTGTCTATTCTGTAGCAAGCAGCTTCATCCGAAATATCCATGTGCTGACCGCCAGTTACTTTGTATGGAAATGTCGATGCGAATAACCAAGAATCAATCTATAGATAAGAAAGATACTGAATGAGCTAATGCTGAGGACTAGCCCAGAAGTTGTTATCTTCCCTGGGGAAGAAAGTGGTCGGGAAAGTGTGGTTTATGGCAGGGTTATATACCATTTCGGAGCAAAGAACATACATCAAGCATGACGGGAATACAATTTTTTTCCCCCCCAGAGTCACCAGGAAATGTGTTGTTGCAGTTTAGCACACTCACAGCAGGTCAACTTGACCTTGGTTCTCTGGAAAGAAAAGCTTATCTTCAAAGAAGTCCTGGTATTGGCGTCAGAGAAGTGAGACCTGAATCCCTATCTTTAAAGAGTGCATTCTTTGCTTTGGGAAAATGCTGGAAGCAGATGTGCAATGCATGTTCTGTGGGCTATAAGTCAGGCTGCTCCGGGAAAAACAAGTTTTAGGCCAAATCAGATTTAAACCGGAACGGCTTGCCTGTATACTTCAACATGTGAAAATTTATTATTGTTATTTTCATCAAAAGTTTATTTCCGTAGTGTAGTGGCTTGAACAGTCTTCAGCCCAACAGTCAAAGCTCTAGGTTTCCGTTTCTTTCACTACTTCCAACTTCCTCTTTGAATATGGGAAATTGTGGGGGCCCGGACGCTTTTTATAAACTTACACACAGGGAACTGAGCAGAGCGTGGGGCCCTGGGAGGTTTCTCACGCGGTTAGGAGTTATTAGTCTCTGGTGAAGGGTACCTACAGTGGTGGGGAAGGCTGCTATACCCAGCCCGGCCCAGCCCAGCCCAGCCCAGCCCAGCCGAACTAGAGGAACCAGCGTCCCAAACTTCCGTCTGACCAATTTAGCTTCTTCTGGAAAGGGTCTTGTAACCTCTCACGTGAGATTTCTTACTCGGGGAAAGATAGCTTGATAGTTATAAACTGAGAGGAGGAAGCAAACGTGCTCACTGTTACGCAGCTCTCCGGTTAAATATCAGTTCAAAATTCTGGGAATCCTTTAAGTTGCAACAAAATATAAAACAGAAAGGAATGCTGAATGTCCCAACAAGTGCAATTCTCTTTGCTTCAGGCGTGAAGCATCCAATAGTTTTAACCTTAGGCATTTGAGGTGAGAGATCCACAGTAGGAGCGGGGGACAGATAACAAACAACTTCCCTGAAATCTCTTTAGTGCCAAGTGATGTTTCTAAGAATTTCTTGGGCCTTATCTGCAATCCTGTCTCACCTATTCAGTGGTCCTCAAAGCTGACTGTGCATAAAAGCCACGGAGAGCATGCAGATTCCTGGGCACTATCCTCCACGATTGTGATTTAGATGGGACGGGCTGGGGTCCAGGAAACCGCCGCTCCTATGCCATAGGGTGGTACCAAGTGAAGTAGAGAAAGGTGGCACTTCTGTGTAGACACAGCTTGGTGAGAATGAGAAAAATGGTTTTCCTTTCTCCTGGTAGATGCAACCTGTGCCAGGGCCTCCGACATGTCCCAGGGGCACAGGCTGAACTAGTCCTGCTTGCCCCTTCTCTGCCTGCCCACACAGAGCCCTGGTATCCCAGGAGATTCCAATGCCGGAGGCTTTGCACAGCACACCTTGTAACCCATGGCCCTGGGCTTTTTAATTTCTTTTCTGTTATGAGTACTACAGATGCAATGCAATTCAGCAAACATTTATCGGGCGCCCAATGTGTGTAAAAGCCTGTGTTAGGTTTGGTAGGGGTTAGGAGACATCTGCAAGTCCCTCTCCACGGCCGGTAGCTCTGCCCGTCGCTGAGAGACCACACAGCTGTTTCATTTCCTGCCATCTTTGATCCCACAGGAGCAGAGAGTGATGAAAAAAGTTGCCGGGGGACCACTCAGGAAGAAGGAAAAATGGAGGCAGGAGAAATTGCAATGGAAATCTTGGTGGATGAGCTTTGAAGAATGACATTATGACTCCTTTCTTTTCTTTTTCTTTTGGTGAGGAAGATTTGTCCTGAGCTCACATCTATGCCAATTTTCCTCTATTTTTTTTATGTGAGATGCATCCAAAGCATGGCTGATGAGTGGTGTAGATCCGTGCCCAAGATCTGAACCTGTGAACCCAGGCCGCCAGAGCAGAGCGCGGAACTTTAACCACCCGGCCACGTTGCCAGGCCCACAACTCCTTTCTTTAGAAGCTTCCTTTCATGGAATGGCCTCAATGCCAGGAAACTTTGTAGGTTTTGGCTCACATTTTAAATATCCTAACTTTATACGTTAGTCTTAGTTAGAACTAAACTTATGTCTGTCTCCTCTGCCTTGGAATACCTCACTTTTGAGGAAGCTTAATAATATTTATTAATATTAATCAGTCTGAGTACTAAATCCATTGCTTGCATTTTCCTCTTCTGTCTAGTGTTTATTGATGTTACATTTTAATGTTTTTGCTTTGATGGAAACATTTCCATTTCTTACTCTCTTATTTCATAAGCTATCGAATGTGAGATGAGAAGGGTAACCCCTTTCTTTATGGACATAAATGAAACCCCAGAATTTAATTTGGAAACATTTTAGTCTGTTTTTCTTTCTTTCACACTGAAAATTCAAGGATTCTCATGATCCCTTAGCTAAATCTACAAAATCCCATCTCTTGTTTCTAAACATTTCAAGTGGACAAAATCAAGTGACATATTTTCAAAGCACAAACAAATTAGACCAGCACAAGTAAACGTTCGTATGTATCGAAATAAAGAAAGAAATTAATGATCAAGTTAGTAAGCACAATACCGCATATGTATTTCCTGCTGAAAGCAGTAGTTCAGAGGATTCAAGGCTATCTTACACTACCGTGAAAAACGTGGCACCTAACACATTTGGCATATACTTGTTGAACTTGACTAAATTTAAAGCAATTAGATAAGAAAACATTGGTCTTTCAGCTGAAGCTCAAAACACAGCATGTTAGAAATAAAAACAAGAAAATCAAATACTTTTAAAGAAAACCTTTTTTTTTTTTTTTTCAGTGCTAAGATAAGCTTTTAAAGAAGGGCACAATTTTAAAGTACTTACAGTTAAGAAACAGGTCCCGAGTAAGAAGTATCTTGTGGTTTGGGAGACAATCACACTAGACGTGAAAGATAACTGAAGGGGAGAAGAAGTGAGTTTGCATTTCTGTATGCAGGGTAAAGAACAGATTCACGGGTTTTTATTGGCCAGTGTAACTGAGATAGAAATGTTTTCGAGATAAGTTTCTATTCTCTTGAAAATGAAAGTGATTCTTGCCAGAAAAAGTATGTGCCTTCTACGTTGTGCTAGGTGCACTCATGTATCTTTTTAGGGGGGAAGAGATTTGATTCGTTAGATAGTTTGATTGGTTTTACATGCCTGGCAGAGCTTACCAATTTAAAAAATTTACTTTCTCCCTTTAATACACTAAGTAATTATGACTTAGTGTCTATTTCTTGCCATCTTTGGTTGAGGAGCTTGTAGACAGTATTTGGGAGAAAACAGGCTGTCTGGAATTCCATACCTAATCAGCCATTTCTCCTTTTTTTTTCTTTGCCTCCTGCTTCTTTGAACTCCTCTGTTTTCAAGCATTGATTAAATGCTTACTAAGTGTTAGGCACCGTTCTAAATGCTTTGCATGTATTAATTTATTGAATTCTCCCCACAATTCTGTGGGGTAGGTACAATTATTACTCCCGTGTGACTGGCGAGGAGACTGAGTCACAGCAACATTAAGTGGCTAGTAGGTGGCAGGTAGCAATTGGCTGAAACGGGACTCTCGTCTGTGCTCTCCGGCGCCTGCACGGCGTGCTGCCTCACATTCTCACCATCTGGTCCTGACACCAGCCTTACTCTGCTGGGAGAGATGTGCTGTTCCAAACCACCTGAGGTTGTGAGAGAAGGCTCCCACTCTCAGTTCCAAAAGGTTTGAATTATAGAATCAGAAATCTAAAGATTATGAGCAAGGATTTTGAAAGGAAGAAGTACAAACGTAAAAAAATGGTATAAGGAAATTGGACTTGATGTAGTAAAAAGAGCCATAGTTTGTCGCTGAGCTGACATGGGATAAAATCCTAGTGGTGCAACTTGTTAGCTCTGTGGCCTCTGAAAGTCAACTCAAGAATCTGAGCTTTGGTTTCTTCACTTGTAAAATTAGAAAAATAAGGCTTACCTGCCAAAGTCATTAGGGAATCATGGATAATGTTTGGCCCATTTTAATGCTCAGTATACGTACACTGATGTCGCTGAAAGATGCTTGAGATACCAACCATAATCTGAAATGATGGCATTTTTTTTTTCCCCCGCAAAGATCACATCCAGTCTTGACAAGGTTTTACAAAATAGATAGACTTGTTAATTTTTGGTGGCATTATAAATTGGCACTCTCTTTTTGGAAGGCAGGATTGGCTATACAGTACATGGCAGGATTGGCTATACATTACATAGCAGAATCAAAAAATATATTTATCCTTTGGCACTGCAATTTCACTAAGAGTGAGTGTCTTCTTAAATTTTGCACCCGTAGGCACTCTATTAGCCTCACCCTGGTCCCAGCCCCGAATGAATCACGAAGGGGAGGGTCAAATCACATCAGCTCTGTGTTTAGCATTACGCTACCCAGAGTGGGGAATAAAAGAGCTGAGCTACCCAGCCCATCCCTTTGAGGGATGTTGGGGGCAACTGGAGAAGAACACAAGCTGCCATATTGCAGACAACTAGAAAAAGTGGACAGAACACAATGTACTAAGAATTAACCATTGGTGAGGGTCAGTGCGGGCTGGGAAAGTAAGTGTATTCTGTGAGAAGTAAACCTTAAAGGATGGGATTTGAACTGGTAGAAATGCAGAGGTGAAATAGAATGAGCCAAGATGAAGAGGGAGGAGTCATCAGGAAAGCCAAGTGGTTACTTTGCTGACCCAAACCTTTGACTTAATGGGGATAATGAGATAAATTTGAAATAGGGTCCATGCCTGAAAAGCTGGCCACTTTACAGGTCCTTTGAATGTCTAATAGGCATCTCAAACTTAACAGGTCCCTATTGAACCTTTGGATTCCCATCCTCTGTCACACACACCGCCTAACCTTCTCCATCTCAGTCACTGGTACCACAGTCCACTCATTGTTTTAGCCAAAAGCCTGGAGGTCATCTTTCACCAGCCCGTCCCTTCCATCAGCTCTTGGTTTTACCTCTAAAGCATAAGCCTAATCGATCCACTCTTCTCCATCTCCACTCTCATACTCTATTGCAAAACCTCCTTATTGCAAAAAACCTCCTTATTGTTTCCTTGCTTTCACCCTTGTCCTCCTACAGTAGATTCCCCACAATGCAGCCAGGATGATCTTTTAAAAATGTAAATCAAATTGTGTCATTCCCTGACAAAAACATTCCAATTGCTTTATTGTACTTGGAATAAAATCCAAATTCTACCATGTTCATTCTCCATTCACACTGGCATTCTTTCTGTTCCTGAAACAAAGCTCATTCCTCCTCAGAGCCTTTGCATTTGCTATTTCCTCTGTCTAGAATGTCCTTCCCTTGACTCTTGTCAGGTCTCAGTTCAGAGAGACCTTTCCTACAATCCTACTTGACGTAATTCCCCATTACGCTTCTTTTTGGGGCGGGGGGGGGGGGGTATACTTAGCTCAACCTCAAGTCATCTTGTTTATTTTCTTTCTCTTCCACTCAGTAGGTCACTTCACATAATTTTGGGGGCAGACAATACATATCCGTAAGATTCACTTCCATCGTTCCATGTCGCTGGAGACCATTCATTTTATTCAGTCTTTGCTCCATCCAGGAGAGCTCCCTTGGGATTGGGTACTTCTGTGCTGTTTTTACTCACAATACTTCTGACACCAAACGTGTGGGGTTTGCCATACAAAGCAATTCTCCAGTTCTCTTTGACACCGACTGGGTGTCCCTCAATTCAATTTAATTCTGACGTTAACTACTTGGAGTTAGCATCAGACCCATAGTTTTAGGGCTCAGTCCCACAAGACTTACCTCATTTCAGGTGCCAATCACAAGTATCAGGTCCCTGGGGCTGGCCCGGTGGCGCAGCGGTTAAGTTCGCATGTTTCGCTTCTCGGCGGCCCAGGGTTCACTGGTTCGGATCCCGGGTGCAGACATGGCACCGCTTGGCACGCCATGCTGTGGTAGGCATCCCACATATAAAGTAGAGGAAGATGGGCACGGATGTTAGCTCAGGGCCAGCCTTCCTCAGTGAAAAGAGGAGGATTGGCAGTAGTTAGCTCAGGGCTAATCTTCCTAAAAAAACAAAACAAAACAAGTATCAGGTCCCCAGGTGACCCCTACTTCTGTGACTACTTGGTCACAGAATTTGTAAATTTGGGGGGTTGCTACAACCCTCCTCTTCCTTTCAGATGTGATAATTTGCTAGAATGGCTCACAAAACTCTGGAAAACATTTTACTTACTATTACCGGTTTATTATAAAGAATGCAAATGTACTGCCAAGTGAAGAGCTTCATAGGAGGAGGTCTAGAAGGGTCCTGAGAACAGGAGCTTCTGCCCCTGAGAAGTTGGGATGCAACGTCCTCAAGCGTGTGAATTTAGTCACCATCCTGGAAGCTCGCCAAACCATTTCCTTTAGGGGTTTTTATGGCATTTTCATTGCATAGGCATGATTAGGTTATTGGCCATCGGTGACTCTCTCAATCTCCAGCCCCTCTCTCCTCTCCAAAGCTTCTAATCAAGGCTTGATGTTTCTGGTGATCAGCTCCCCCTTCCGAAGCTAAGGTAACCGCCCCCCAAGTTACCTTATTAGCATAAACTCAGGTATGGTTGAAAAGGTCTTGTTATGAATAACAAAAGATGCTTCTATCACTCCTATCACCCTGGAAATTACAAGGGTTTCAGAAGCTCTGCACCAGGAGCTGGGGACAAAGACCAAACATATATTTCTTATTATGTTACCGTGCTCCAGCCTCGGAAGGAGGTGGACAATGGGATGGCCACCCTACTGAACTCTATCTGTGGTTCATGGTGTGTGATGGAGAGGTTTCACATGGCTCTGCTTGGCTTTCACATGTTAAAATCATTGCATTTAAGCCTACAATTAAGTGGAGAGAATCAGGGGCCAGCCTGGTGGTACAGCAGGTAATTTTTGTACTCTGCTTCGGTGACCCAGGGTTTGCTGGTTTGGATCACGGGTGCAAACCTATGCACTGCTTATCAAGCTGTGCTGTGGCAGGGATCTCACATATAAAGTAGAGGAAGATGGGCACAGATGTTAGCTCAGGGCCAGTCTTCCTCAGCAAAAAGAGGAGGATTGGTGGCAGATGTTAGCTCAGGGCTAATCTTCCTCAAAAAAAAAAAAAAAAAGGAGAGAATCATGTGGACCCATCATCAAGCTTCAAGAATTATCAGCTCATGACTAATATTGTTTTATTTATACCCACATCCAGTTACAACTTCTTTTCCCCCCTGTATTATTTGGAAGCAAATTTCAGATATTATATCATTTCACCAGGAAATATTTTAGTATGTATCTCTAAAAGATAAAGATCAGTAAATAACTTAGTATTATCTCTAAAAGAAACTTTTTAAAAAATAACCACAAAACAAAAATGTTACACCCCCCAAATTTCTTAATATCATCAAATATTCAGTGTTCAAATTTTTCTGATTATCTCAGAAATTTTCGTTTTTGTTTTTGTTTTGGTTAGTTTGTATCAAGATACAAATAAGGTGTATATATTGGCCTTTGTTGATGTATCTCTCCAGTCTTTGTAAATTTATAGGTGGCCTCCCCCACTCCCGATTCCTTACTCCTTCTACCCTCCACCCCCCACACAATTTTCTGAGGGAATAAACCTAGTTGTTTGTCTTGAGTGTTTCCTACAGTCTAGATTTTGTAGATTATACCCCTATGATGTCATTTAGCATGTTCCTCTGCCCCCTATATTTCCTGTAAAGTGATAGTTAGATCCAGAAGCTTGATCCAATTTAGGTAAAATTTTCTCGGCTAGAACATTGAGTAAGTATTACTGTATACCCCCATAATAAGACATCTCATGTTTAGTTGTTTTTCTTTCTCTGATGTTGGTAGATGATCAGTGCCTAGTCCATTCTTTCATTAGAAGTTGCAAAACAGTGATATCCTAATGTTATCGTTCTGTGGCAGCCATGAGAATGTGCCGAGGAGACCTCCTTTTACAGGGAGCGTAGTTAACCAAGCCTCCAGCTGCTGCTGTGAGAT